GATCATTGTCAATTTCAGAAAAGGCAGGCACAGCCACACACTTCTGTATTAATGATTCACCTGTGGAGTGGTTAGCAGCATCAAGTTTCTGGGTGAGCAGCTAACAAGTAGGCTAGCTTGGTCATTCAACAGTCAGATACTGGTGAAGGGGGCACAGCAGCGCTTGCATTTTCTGCGTCACATGAGAAGAGTACATCTTCCTTCCCCTGTCCTTACCACTTCTATAGGGACGATTGAGAGCATCCTGTCATATTGCATTACTGTCTAATTTGGAAGCATCACTGCATCAGACAGGAAGGCAGTGCAGAGCGTGTTGAGGATGGAGATAGGTAGTTCACTTCTTTCTATTCAGGACATAGCATATAAGCGATGTTTGTGAGCAGGGTCCACAGGATTGTTTGAGATGCTACACATCCTCTTACAACCTGTTTTCCTTGTTACCTTCTGGGAGGAGGCTTCGTGGTATCCGAAGCAGAATATCTAGATTCAGTCACAGTTTGTGTGTGTGTGTGTGTGTGTGTGTGTGTGTGTGTATGTGTGTGTGTATATATATGTATGTATGTATGTATGTATGTATATGTATGTAGGGGTGTGTGTATGTGTGTATGTATATATATTTAGCATATGTATATGTGTGTTATATATGTGTATGGATAGATATATACTTTCTTTTGAGAGCAGGCAACAGAATTTCATTTTTAATGGGTCAGTGTGCTCACAGTAAAAAAATGACAATAAAGGTTATCTTATCTTACCGTATCATCTTATCTTCCATACAAAAACTTGTATCTTCCTCCCCTCTACAATTTCCCTCTTCTGGCTGATGTTCACCCAAGAATATAAGGGCTGTTGTGTGATAGTATTTATCTGTGGATTTTCATTAGATATTCTGGATAAAAACTGGATGTTAAATGCTGACTTTTATGCTATAGAAATGTATGTTGGCCTGGTTCTATGTCTTTGAAAGCCTGACCACAGTTCATTTCATAACGTTTCACACTCTGGCTGCCTAAATTGGTTTCTTAATGTAAATGAAACAATACTAAGCCATTAGTGTTTTTATGCTAAATTTTAGCACTATATGCCAAATAAGTGAAGTAATTGAGTTTTTTCTAAGGATAAATATCACATTTATTAAGTGGAAGTTTTATTTCCTTGCATAACCCAATCCAAAATATATGCTTGCTTTTAGGGAAGAAGATGACATTAATGATGTGGCTTCTATGGCTGGTGTTAACTTGAGTGAAGAGCATGCGTGCATATTGGCAACCAATTCTGAAGCAATCGGTACTATTTTGTGCTCTTGTCCAGAGAAGCTCCTCCTTTCTTCAGAGGCATTGCAGAAGAGGATCTTAAAAAAAGGTGAGAAGTTGGGAGAATAATTTAAGGCACCTGCAACTCTTTGTTTGAAGAAGAAACACATTTTTTTTCACAGTAAAAGTGTCCAATCTAAGCAGTAAACTGTTGGCCATATCATTACTAAAATGGATATAATGGAACTTCTGTGTAACATTCTTAATATTCATCTTGAAACAAAGGGCATACATTTGAAGTTATCCTCAAAGTATTAAAAGTTTATTTTATGCTACTTTTTAGGGCCATGGCATCAACATTGTCTTAGGTTTCTTTCTTTTTTTCCTGGAGACCCATATGAACAGAATTGCAAGAGTGTTTCTGAAAAGATCATGAATGAAAGCATATGAAACAAACGATTGAGAAAAATCTACCTGTACTTTTTCACTTATTTGGTCAGAAATCGACACATTTACAAGCAAGTACTAAACCACTTGAGTTTCCTATGTCTGTCATGCATGATTTTCTCAAAAGACATTAAAGGTTACTTTAAATATTTTTGACTTTCCCATCAACTAGGTAAGTCCTTGGTATAAAAGTTCGTGATTGCCAAGTCCACTTCATAGGCTAACAGAGTTATTAGTATTGTATGATTTATTCATGGCACTTAGAAAATGTGTGCTTGTCCTGGCCCAGATAGAATGAACCCATAGACTTTGTTCATTGTCTTCCTCATACAGCTCTCCTGAAAATTGGAAAATGTCAAATTGAAACTGTAAAACAGGATCAGAATCTATTTGGATTATTTAGATGCTCCAATAGAAGAGAACCTACATGCCGCCATAAATTCTAATATCTAAAAATAGAAGATGAAATTATGATTTTATTTGACGTCACAGCACTCTTAGCACCGTAGACCCAGAACTAACAAAAGAATCCATAGCAGCAATACTATACAACATGTCCAACCTAGCCAAATACAGTAAAGTCAAAATATCCGGAATACTAGATCTCATCAACTTCTGCCTCACTGCCTACTTATAGTTTGATGGACAAATACGAACAAATCAGAGGAACAGCTATGGATCTCAGGGCTCATAGCAGAAACCATAATGTAACGTCAGGAAACTATAGCACTCCCACATGTACAGTCAAAATATAGATCCGAGGTGTAGGCACCTTTGCTAAAATAAAAAAGGAATAGCTAGAGAAAACTCAACAGTTCATATCATCTTCAAAGTAATAAAATTCACAAGGGAAGAAGAGCCATTCAGCAGAAACAGTAAAAAAGCTAAGGAGGAAACAAAAAGCAGAAAACATCTTGTCCAGCAACCAACATCTACACAAGCAAGGATTAGCACCCAATAAACAACCAAGCAGAAAATAAAATCTTTAATGAAGGAACTACCAAGGGGAAACGTGCACCCCATCAATATTGGCAGAGCAAACTAATGTATATCAATAGGGAACAAATCACACACTCATTAGCACTGATGTTTACCTAGTTGGGTAATGAAACATCTGCAAGTGAGCAGTAATGTCCCCATAGTATTTAGATGCTTTTGGGCGTGTAAAGAAATGGTTTTGGAAATCGAATTTGAACTGTTTTTCAGAGCAACAATTCTGATCTAATTTGCCTAATTTTCATGGGCATGTCAATGACCTGATCCCAGTTTTTTTTATTTGGAAGAAGTTAGTGTGTGCTGGTTTTCTAAATAATACTGCTTCTGAGGCACTTGAATGAACATCGGCTCACAACTGTTGTGCCTTTCCTACTGAGCAAAGAGATATCTAGAGTGAGGAATAGATTGGCTTGCTCCTTCCTTTCCTTAAATGTCTAGAAGAGTTAATTCTGGTGAATCTACAAGAAGTACAATGAATACATGTAGCTCAACGTAATCATTTCCCAATAATAACAGCAACACAATATACTACACAAACATGGAAAGAACTCTTCTTGGCCCAGTTAGCTGCAGTCATGGCATCCTATATTTTCTTGGAGAATAAGCCTTGTTTATATTTTCATTCTGAGAAAAGTGAGATGCTGTATTTGATTATTGCTTCAAATGATTTAGGAGTAAGATGTAGAACACCTATTCTGGGGTGTGCAAATTAAGCTATCCATGTTTTAAACAAACCCAAGTTCTTTCTTTGCTTACTGGATCTCAGCATCCGAATTACTAGAATAAAGCTTTTTTGCAGTGGCAAAACTTCTCTCTAAATCTGGCATGTATTGGTTGATAACACATCCCAATAATTTAATATACAAGACAAGGTGACTGTTTAGTTTTCAACTAAACTGTTCTCTTGCCATAGAAGCCAGGAGCTGTTTGCATCTATGTTGAAAGCACATTTTACTCTGGGCATAAAATAAGATGCCTTTTCTACATCACTACAGTTGGTGTTTTCAGATATGACACCTCTGAGGAAGAGATGTAAGAAAATGCCTTTGGATGTGTGTGTTTTTGAAGTTGTTTGCTGCTGTAGCATTGAATTGCTCAGGTACTCATAGTACTTTCCTAAGCTTGCACTGATGGAGGTCAGTTGTCAACCAGACAAAGAGACCTGAATTAATGTGTGTGCAACTTAAGGGCATGACAGAGATGATGCTTCCTCTTAGAACATTGCTCAGGCAGTTTCACTTGAAACAAACAGCATTCCTGTTGCTCCAGGGAATATTAGTAGGGGGAATGAGGACAGTAGCAGTATAGAAAAAAACAAACTTTGGACAAGTTGCAGTTATGACAGAAATGGAAAGAGAATGGTTTTGGATCTTAACTGAGTGAGCTGTCCAAGTTATTCTCTAAGAAGGGTGGGTGCCATAGGTTATTTTATAATATATTTTATTATTTTTCTAACATGGTCACCTTAATATTCAGTAAACAGTGTGTTGTCTGGGTTTGCTGTTAAAAAACATTAGCTAACAATTGGTTTCTATGATCTATAATCCACATAATAGCTTTACTTGATTTCCTCTTCTTCCCATAATGTTCTCTTTTACCAATCTTAAGTTAATACAATCCTTATTGTTTTAATAGATAACAATTGAATATCCATTTTTTTCTAATATTTCTGCAAATAATAATCACATCAAAATAATATTTCTTTTCTATCTAGTCATTCTGGTTGCCTCATCATAGATCCCGTTTACAGTTCTTGTTTACATTTGTTTTTCACACAATATTCAAGACATTCTACTGGTTAAGATTTTCTCAAAGTTAATTACATTTAGATATTTGATTCTATTTTTTCTCATGTAAACCATCCCATAACTTTTACCTTACTTAAGGAATAAATAAGACTAAAAAAAAGAG